TGTGTTAAAATTTATTCTTTGCAAAATTATTTGAGTTACAATATTCTAAAATAAAAAATGAAAAAAGAACACCAATGAAACAAATTTAGGAAGAATGCCTTCAGGTGTTTAATTAATAGTTAATGAATCTGAAGAGTAGTTGACTTAGGTTCTTGTCTGGTCTTAGGGAACCACACCCTCTAGACATCCAGATGCTTGGTCCTAAGACATGCTAACTTGATAACTGACAAATTTTTCTTAATTATTATAGTGAATAAAAAAGCTTCTCGAGAAGTGCTCAGCTCAATAGAATTATGTTCCCCTTTACCCAACTGCTTACCAAAACCTGTTCAAAGATTCTAAAACATGCTGTATTTTAAAACTTATTTTAGAAGACTGGCCTATTAATCTCTAGGTTAGCTATGCTACAAAATTGTATTAGCCCAGTTTCTAAGTTTGAGTGTTTTTGTATTTTCTTTTAACTGTGAGGCTATGCTCTTTGTCCCATTTACTTCTGTTCCAAGGTTATAATATCTAGCTGGACTAATACTCTCCATGCAAGTTACAATCTAACCATATCCTGAGCATTTTCTAATGCAGGAAGTATGTATAGCTTCAGTGCCTCCCTTTTAGTTCCCCATTCTTCCTGGTTTAAGAGTCAGTCACTACTCCAGACATGGGTCCGGTTTCCACCTGGTCTCTTGTGCTTTCATAACAAAGTATCCTTGTTGGCATCCAGTGCCCGGTAGGCATCTCACCATGTAGTTATGATACTTCTGAGTTCTGGCTGTCTGCCAGCTCACAGGTATGTGTGGCCTGTTTTAATCTGGCTTTTCCACTGCTCCCTACATATCAAGGCTGGCCCTGGGGGAGAGGGGTCACACCCCCTGCATGGTCCTACAGACACACTGGGGTTTGTGAGCTCCCAACACAACTCAAGGAGGATGGCAGCCTTCTGCCGAGATTCGTGATTATGTTCCTTCATCTATGATCACATTCCATGTGCTCTGGGCTTTTGAAAATCTTCAGTTGGCTCTTGTCTGAAACATGATTTAGTTTATGATGTTGCGAGGTACCCTGTCTCAGCTGCTCACTGGCCTTTCCAAACTTGTGCTGCATTTAGTTCCAAGCCCAGTCAGTTCTTTCAGTTCCATGTTTGGGTCCTCAGCCAGGTCCAAAATTTTCCACAGGAGCTGACTTATCGTGACTTGTACTTCAACACCAAACTATGAAAATAGCCAACCACTGAGTAGCTGGAAGGAGTTAGGGAAGCAATTTCAGAGGAGGAACCCTTCACACTGAATGATTGTCTCAATTAGGGCTATGGTTGGACAGGATATTGGAACTGGTAAGAGGGCATTCCAAGGAGAAGAACCGCATAAGGAGGGGCAGACAAATGGTTTCTTTTTCCTTTTGAAGGAAGTCGAGCAAAAGAGTTTGCCAAAGGGCTTTCATTTACATTTTCAGAGTTTAATAAAATTTTCACAGGAAATTTTGAATGTAAAAATGAAGAATTTGACAGTATATTATTTATCCAAGGAGGCTCTGTTAAAAATTTTTTGGAGGCAAACATTTATTAAGTGCCCAGCAATTTCCTTAGAGCTGGGGAACAAAGAGTAGCAAGACCAACGCATGATATTTGCTCTCAAGGAGCTAACATCCCAGTAGGGGGGACAGATACACTAATAAATGATTTTTATGTTCAGTTGGAGCTCTTTTATAATGCAATTTGGTCTAGAAGTGGGTTTATTAACCAAATAAAAATTTGGTTATAGAAGGGAATTTAAAAATATCTTTTAATATTTTACTTTAAAACAAAATTATATATTCTTTCACTGATATCTTGATATGTCACAATATTTTTCTTATATAAACTACATATGTAATGTATTGTATGTGCTTAAATGTCTGTATTTTTTCTTAAAAGAATGAAAAATTGAAGAAACTTACAAAATAATGGTGTGGATCCCCCTAGAGTTGTATTAGTTTTGAAAACTAGTATTATAGTTATGTCAACATTTAATTTGACAGGATTATTTTTAGCACTCAAATTTATCCAATCTTTAAAACAATATTCACAAGTGTTTCCACAGAAACGACTTTTCATGTAGTATTTCATTAGTTCCAACATAAAATTTAATTATGTAATTAAAAGAGCAAAGACAACTGGTTTGGGAAGAAATGTTACCAACTTCTGGGTAAATTTAGGACTCAACTGGCAGGGGGAGAAGTTTGTGGTTATTCTGGAGAACAGCTGAAACCTGGGAGGTTTTAGCATGCCTTGGGCATCAGCCACATTTCACAAAAGGAAAGGGCAGTCTCAGTCATTTCGCTTAGGTATGTTAATCAGGGTGCCACTTAGAATGCTTCTACAGTCCTAAAACTGAGGTATGCACAGGATGTTATGGGCGCACAGCCTGAGAACAGCTGAGTATTTCTTGGGTCAAGTAGAGGCTAGGTAAGAACCCTGGGAAGCATCGATGTGGGGAACATACAAGTTTTTGTTAACAACAAAGACATTAATGAAAAATCGAATTATAATAGCTTTAGAAGAACCTGTCTTGCTTTGCTAGCATGAGAAAGAAAAATCGTAGAGAATCCAACACATCCCTGGAACACTGCAACACAGGTGGGAGAAGCAAAAAAAGGGAGGGGAGTCAAGCAGCCAATGAAAACAAATCTTTTTTTTAAGTAATATTTTTTCATAGAAATGTATTACTTTCTTTTTTTAAAGATTTTATTTATTTATTTTTTGGAGAGAAGGGAAGGGAGGGTGAAAAAGAGGGAAGAAACAAAATGTGTGGTTGCCTCTCATGCACCCTGCACCAGGGACCTGGCCCACAACCCAGGCATGTGCCCTACTGGAAAGCAAATTGGTGATCCTTTGGTTCTCAGCCCATGCTCAGTCCACTGAGCTACACCAGCCAGGGGGAAAATAAATCTTTTTAATTTCACAGTTTTTCCTGAGATCAATGCTCCTCCAAAGTGCAGAACAATAATGTAAAAATAAACATTTTAATTCAATTTTATGGGTAATAATTGTTAGTTATTTATTACCAAACATAGAAGAGAGAAAAGCAAATGGGTTATAGACTGTTTTTCAGGAAAGTAATAAAAATAAGAACATTTCTGTAATCAAAATGAGGTTGGCACTAATAAAAATTATATATGTATAAAAATTTTTATGTGTAGACATTTTAGAAAATTTGGAGAATTTTTGCAATAGTAGAAAACTGCATACATATATTGGACTAAAAAATTAAAGTTATCTATATTCTATATTTTGTTTCATATTTCTTTTTTGTATTATGTATATATATAAATGATAGCATATTAAAACTTTTTCATTTAACAATATACTGTGACCATTTATCACAATGATAAATTTATTAATTCTTTTGTTTGAGGCATTGACTATGGTTGTGATTAAATTGCTGAATTTTAGTGTTAAGAACACTAATCTTGTTCTATTCTTCTTTTATTTATATTGCAATGGGTATAGAATTTTATCAGGGTTTTTTTTTTTAGCATCCATAGATTGACTATACATATCACCTCTTTTAACTGGTAGATATAATGAAATACATTTATAGAATCTTCCTCCCTCCCCTCCCCTTCCTTCCTTTATTGTTTGTTAGTTCCTTCCTTCCTTCCCTCCCTCCTTCCCTCCCTCCCTCAAAATTTCATTCATTTCTATTCTATTTAAATATTTTGATTTTTTCCAAGTAATATGTACATAGTTTAAAAAGTAAAATACCTTTACAAGACAAATCTTGAAAATAAGTCCCTGAGCCACACATTTCATACACATGTGTTGTTCTTCACAACATCTATTAGCTATATCTTTTGGTATTTACTTTCTTATATTTTTCATGCTATTTCTTAACTGATCAATTTTAGTTATTATATATTTCTTTCATATATTTTTAGGTTTCCTGTTTCAATAGAGTACTATTAGTTTTGTTGAATTTTTCATCAGTATTTATCTTACTATGACTGTTAGTACTGTTCAGAGCTGAACTAAGTAGTATAATTATATTATCTCTCTTTTGCAACTTTTGTTTTTCCTGGAGTTAGTAATTCCTATGTTTCCATTATTTTTAATTTGCCTAGGTTTACATATCACAATCATAATATTAAGGTCCCCAGCTTTAAAGGGATCAATAAGACCCTTTTGAATTCTAGTTTCAATATGGTTGAACATATTTGGCGCTTCATCAATTTTACCCTCTTGCCTCATATAAGCATCCATTTTTGAGTCCTCCATCATCCTACTCCAAAATGGGTAAGTTTCTCTTTTGAGCTACTGCATAGCAATCAGCCTAGAAGTTCTAGCTCCAGTTCTAGGTCCCTCATTTGGAAGATTCATTGTCTTTCTCTTAGTTTATGTCTTCATTGTACAGTCACTTCTTGAAATGGGAGATAAGTTTTTTGGAGTTTGCATTTCTGAAAATGTTTAAACATACTATCATACTTGATTGATAGTTTGACATTGATTGATAGTTTGGCTGAGAATGGAATTTTAGGTTGAATACAAATTTCCCTCAGAAATGTGAAGGTTTTGCTTCATCATGTTCTAACATCAAATGTGGTTGTAGAATTGTCTGGTGATATACTTATTTCAGATCCATTTTTTTTTCAAAATCTCTATTTATCTCAGAAAACATTGTGTTCTCTTTATCTCCAGTGCTCTTAAATTTCAAGGAGATGTTCATTAGAATGGGTATTTTTCATACATTTTGTTGGGATTCCTTTTGCACACTCTTATAATTCAATTTTAAAATAATTTTCTTGAAATCATTTTGGATAATATCCTCCTATCTCCCCCTTCCAGTATATGCTCTTTTTTAAAAATTATTTTATTGTGCAGTTACAGTTGTCTGCATTTGCCCTTCACCGCTCCCCGCCATGCTCTTTTTTGAACTCTGATTTTTTTGGCATTTAACCTTCTGAGTGGATCTTGCAATTATGTTATTATTCCATTCCAACATTTTATATTTTTGTCTTCATTATGATTTCAGTGTTTGTTCTGCTGTGAGCTGTTGCAGAGACCTACATACCCTGAGTGGCAAGAGCAGCACCACCGAGCTCATTCCCTGGAAACTACTCTTAGCATGGAGCTGCATGGCTTTGAACTTTGTCTGTGAGCATCTGTGTTTTGTCTTGATTTATTTTTTGTGCATCTGTTAGCAAAATGTGTTCTAAGGTATCATAAAAGCCTAAGAGAATTCATAAGAGTGTTATGTCTAACGTAAAACTGGACTTAAGTCGTGTTTTGATCATGTGAACAAAATAAAGACATTGTGTGTGCATTGAATTTTGGATCTGGGAACACTCAAAAATGTTTCCTATAACAATGATAAGGGCTTCTGTGCTTTATGCCATTTTGGTTTATGAAAAGTTTGATAGGAATGTTCTACATACAGAGAGAAGGGAAAACCTGTATGTAGAAGTACAGGGTCCTGCAGAAGTAGCACCATGGAGTGTGGTTGGTAGGGTATGTGAATGTCTCTCATGAGATGGACAGCAATTTGAGTATTTCACCTAAAATGTCATATGATGTGTTTGAGTGTGATATTGTTAAGTTAAAGAATCACATCCTTATGATTTTGTAATTAAAGATTTGGTATAGATTACCAGCTCATTAAATAAAAGTGTGAATAAATATATATAAATATATAACTAAATAATTAATTAATTAAAATAGTTAATTAAATTAATTTCTAAATAGAAAACTTTTATCAGTACTTTTATCTCAAATAGTTTTCTATGGAAATTTATATTTTTATATTCATTATCTAGCTAGTAATCAACATATCTCAAAAAACATGGAGAATTATTTTTTAAATCCTCACCTAAGGACACGTTTATTGATTTTAGAGAGAGCGGAAGAGAGTAGGAGAGAGAGGGGGAAGCATCGATGTGAGAGATAAACATTGATCGGCTGCCTTGCGTATGCTCCCAGACTAGGGATCAAACTCTCAACCTAGGTGTGTGCCCTAACCACAACCCACAACCTTTTGGTGTATAGGATGAGGCTCCAATCAACTGAACCACCTGGCCAGGGCTGGAGAATGCTTTTTTAAAAAAAGATTTTATTTATTTATTTTTAGAGAGAGAAGGGAGAGAGAGAGAGAGAGAGAAATATCAATGTGTGATTGCGGGGGCCCGTGGCCTGCAACCCAGGTATGTGGCCTGACTGGGAATCAAACCTGCGACACTTTGGGAATGCTTTTTTTTTCAAATCACATATATATCTTCCACATTTTCCAGAAGAAAATATTCAGGAAATATCCAGGGATTTCTAAAAGAAAAACTCAAGTCATAAATTTCTGGGAGCTTTTTAATTTTTTTTCTTGGATATCAGAATATTAAATGCTAGCAAATATAATTTTTTTGTAAGAAAAAATTTCCTTACAAGAACTTCTGGTAGTACAACTATTATAAATGTGTAAAATACCTTCTAAAAAACAAAAACCACTAAAAAATTACTAGTTGCTGATAATTTTTAATAAAGCCTCAGGACTGTCACTAATGTAACATGGAGGGTTATATAAGAACTTGTTTCTCCTTATAATATATCCATATAACTTTTCCAGTGATAAAACCAATACCCAGAATTCTGAAATGATTGGTTAGAATTTTATCTAGTCCATCATTTACAATGATGTGCTGGAATGTATACCCCTACATATTCAATACAAACAATCCAACAAGCTGCTCAGAATCCTTCCATGGTTCCCGTTATAAACTGACAGTGATATATTCAGATTGGAATGAAGCTGTAGGCTTATATGGAAGGTGCCATATTAGACAAGCCTCCAAAAAATGTCACCAGGCCTTACTTGCTGCAAAATCGAAGGGTAAAAACTGCAGGCCTGAGAACTGTCAGATTAGAATCCCGAAACTTTTCGTGCTCCTCAGCAGAACTGAGAAAATTAGAATTCCTTTTTTGGGGCAAGGTCATGGTTAGGTAGTCTCTATTTCTTGAGGTCATTTGTTATAAAAATGTGTATGGGGGAAAAGAAGGAAATGCCCCTAAGCAGAGAAGGTGGGAGAAGGCAATAAGGCAAACAGAAAGGGAGCCCTAAGAAACGAGTTTCTTGCTTAATGCAGTTGTCTGATTTGACTTACTATCAGCTGGAAAACATGGTGGCTGGGAATATTAAAGGTAGCTTTTTCAAAGAGAATAAGATACGCATCATTCTTTGAGGGTGGAAGCGGTGCTAGCTGCCACTACCCTCCAGGTTGACATGGTTTGGGGGTTGTTGTTTTTTTCATTTTCTGTGCTCTGCGACCTCCACACCATGTCCCTTGCCAGGAGACTCAGGTAAAGCCTTGAAAGCTGAGTTTTTCGGGCTAATAGGCAATGTACAAAAGAGTCGTTTTATTCTCTGTGCAGAGCTAATTGACCTACACCAGAAATGAAACTTCAGGGCAGGCTCATTAACACCACGGCCTACCCAAATGAGATAACAAGTCCAGATCTAAAACATCATCATGTTCGCTGCGTAAATGTAATTTTTATACTAAAGGTCTCAATAATAGCTTTTGTTTATCCAAATGAAAATGATGAGGATAGAAAATGCAAATAAAATAGAAAATGTGAAAAATTCTTCTTACTCCACACCCCAGGAATGACTATATGCTTACCTTTATAGGCTTTTCCGAACATGTAAACTTCTAACAAATAGAAATTTTAAATTTTAATCTATATTGGATCATATGAAATATGCTGTTCCATAACCTGCTTTTTACTCATTTTTTCTTTTTCTTAAATTTATTTTATTTTAGAGAGAGGGGAAAGGAGGGAGAGAGAGCGGAAGAGAAACATTAATAGGTTGCCCCTCATATGTGCCCGGGTGAGGGTCCTAGCCAGCAACCCAGGCATGTGTCCTGACCAGGAACCAAACCCGGGACCCTTCGCCTTGCAGAAACACACCCAACCCACTGAGCCATGCCAGTGAGGGCTCTTTTTTCTATTTATTGTATTACTTATGCTGCTTGAGTACACAAAGAACTATGTAATCTTCTTAATATAAATTATGAATGCATCATATTTTATTTCAATAATTCCCTACTGATGTACATTTCACTTGTTTCCAAATCTTTGATAAAGTGAGCAAGCTTATAACAATAAATGTATTGTGTATATATCTTTTCATGCTTGTCCTATTATTTCTTTGAAATGCATTCCTAGGATTGGAGTCAGAGGAACTATAGGTGAATACATTAAAAAAAATTTTTTTAAATCTTTAATGTAGTTTTCTGTCTGAAAATGTCTTTATTTCAGTCTTATTCTAGTGATACTTTTGCTGTTTGTAGAATTCAGATTAGTCCACTGAAGAAAATATTCCACAATCTTCTGATAAGCTTACTGTTGAGAAGTCAGTTCCCAGTCTAACTGTTATTCTTTGAAGGTAATTTATCTATTTTTCATTGGCTGCTTTTTAAGAATTTTTTGTCTTTGGCTTTTCTATAGTTATGCTCAAATGTGTTCAAGTGTGGATTTCTTTTCTTTTAAACTCAATCCTAAAATCTAATGTTTCATCAGTTCTGGAAATGTCTAAGTCATTATCTTTCAAAATATTGCACCTGCCTCAACTCTTCCCTCTTCTGCAACTTTCTCACTATAACTTTTATATCTTTTTTTTCAACTTTTTGCTTCTCAGTACATTGTTCTAGTGATTTCTTTTGAGGCAACTTTGAGGCTAGCAACCCTTTAATTATGTCTCAGCTCCCATTAAGCTCATTTACTCAAACAGAAAATACAATCAGAAAAAAAAAAGAAAATGCAATCAGCTAAACAAAATAATAATGTGTAAAGTTAGCACTCTTTAAAAAGAGGTAAAATTTACTTGTAACACACTAAAAGGAAAATCTGTATTTCAAAAGAAAAGTGATCATGTTGGTCTTGTCCCTTAAAATATTCTCTGAACCTAACGTAGTACCTGGCACAGACTGGGACCTTTACAACAGCAGAATGAATCAACAATTGAATTTAATGAGAGTTAATTCCTTTTTTAGAAATGACATTCTTGGTTTATAAGACTTAGAAAAAGAACTGTTAACCCTACTTGACTTAACAAACAAAAAAAGTACTGTAAGTCAAATAATCTAAGAAAAGAATAAAACAGGTACTTAATACCCCACCATTTTTCCTACTCCAAATTCCTGGATCTTTTTTTCTGGTGCTTGGCAAACATTAAAATGGCTTAATTTGATTGGCTAGATGTTCTTGGTGGAAAAGGAGGAGAAAGAGTAACTTATTTTATGATGAACAAAAGTATTGTAAATAACCCAGTTTTTTACATTAGTGTTTAAACAATACACAATCCATTTCCTCTGTTACAGAGTATGATTTTATGTAGAGTTGGTGGAACCTGGGAGTGGAACCATGCTGCAAATAATACCTGGGAGTTTGTGGGCAGAACCATCGAAATCCACTGAGAACACAAATCTAACTCTTTAGTCTCTGCTGACTGTCTATGTGACCCTGCATAGTTAGTAGCTTTTGTATTCAGTTACTCTAGAGTCTACTGGGAACTCCTCTCTAGATCTCCCCCAACACAACAGGACAGTTTCAAAATGATGGAGAGGAATACTTTGCTATGTTAAGGGCTAAAGATCTTGCCATTGAACTGTGTCTGGGATTCAGTAAGGCCTTCTCAGGTATATGACCTGAATGGGACAGAAATGGAAGACGGACTTCCCTATGGTACAAAGAGGTTAGAGCAGTCATTTCCCATCACTTTTTTTAAAAAATGATTTTATTTACTAATTTTTAGAGAGAGAGTTAGGGAGGGAGAAAGAGAGGGAGAGAAACATCTGTGTGAGAGAGAAATATCTATTGGTTGCCTCTCCCACCACAAGTGGGGACTGAACTCACAACCCAGGCATGCGTCCTGACCGAGAATTGAACTGGTGACCTTTTGGTTGTGGGATGATGCCCAGTTAACTGAGTCACACCAGTCAGGGCTTCCCACCACTTCTGTGCGGGACAGTCAAGGCTAAGTTGCATCAATCCCAGAATAGATTATTCTCCATCAGGTTTCTCCACTCTCCTTTCAGCTCTGGAGTTTTGCTGCTATTTGCCGATCCTGCCACAATAGGTCCAGCTGAGTGTGACTGTTTTGTGTGTCTCCATAGCCATGGGTTTGACTGGCAGTCACCAATTCTGTATTATGCACATCCACACATTTCTCTCGTTTTCACTCTCTCATGTTTGCCATCTGGGAATCAGAGAATAACAAACTTGCAGTGTATTGTCTCTTTGGCAAACTCATTCACTTAGCGTTAGAGGACCTTATGTAATAAAGAACTGAAATGTTCGGTGCATCCTGATGCTCGTCCCAACCTGTTCTTCCTATTGTGTATTTCCCCTGAGAAGCAAAATCTTCCTCAGTAACTATGCACTTTCATCCACGATAGGGAATCCCTTGCAGGTGTGGCTTTATGTTCCCATAAACAGTCTCTTTCTACCTCATGCAATTCTCGGTAACTAAGAATATACATGCACTAATGGCTTGAATAAGACAATGTTTTCAAGATCTTGTTGATCATAAAACAGAAATATAAAAGAGGTTTGACCATGTATTTATTTCACTCATTCAAAAAAGAATCTATGCAGGCCCTGGACTACCTACTGGGAATAAAGAAAGGGACAATACAAATATGTTTCCCAGACTCTAGAGTCCATGATCCCATGGTTTCTGACCCTGGGCTGGTCAGACCTACAAACATCAGGATCTCTTAACTTTTTTTATGGAAGGAACCTAACACACTAGTAAGTCAACCAACCAACCAATGTAATTAATTGATGCTAAATGGTGGAGATAAAAAAGAAGAACTGTTCTTTCTTCCATTTCCCTAGCATTTGAGCTCTTCTCAAATGTTCCTACTTAAAGGCCCACAGCACATTTTAGCATATTACTCCTTGGAACTGACTTTTAAAAATCTCCCCTAGGTAACCGGGAACACAATGCATGAACTCTCCGTGAGAGTGGAAGCACTTTGCCATTTTGAGATTCTGGATTTTCTTTTCTCTCAAACTATCTTAC